GAAATGGCTGTAAAGTCCTGAATTCTAGAGCTGAATTCCATATCAAATGCTAGCTCTAAAACAGCTGTGCCAAAACCTCAGATATAATCACCTGCAAACATCGCATCTCTATACACTTCAAATGTCAACCCTTTCCGAAGTAAGAGACACCTAAATCATGTGTTTCTTAGGATCCTTACGGCCAGGGATGGATCCAGGTGGGATGCAGTCGTGCAGTTGCACCATCTCTTTGATTCTAACTCTGCCCAGACTTTAAAATTGCCTGCCTTTGAGGGGCCACAGCATTTCCATTTAGGCAGTGCTGATGGAGTTGATTGACCTTATGGCTCATTATCATCTACCTGATTCTTGCTAATCTCTTTCCACTTCATAGGTATTAATGATCCTCTTTCCTTTTTATTGATCTTAATGTTCCACTATTGAAGCTATCCTTTCTTCTGCCATTTTGTTGTCTGTTAGCCAACCCTGGTAACATCTCTCTTCTCTCTCTTCTGTTTCATAGCCCTGCAGACAGTTTTTAGCTCTAGCTAAAAGCCTTAACTTAGTTGTGGTAATATTAACTCAGGTGTAGAAATGATTGACATATTGGAGGCACTGTCAAGATGCTCAAGAAGGCTAAATTTTGTTTTACAAATATGAGTAAGAGCTGTATATTTAACTGTGATGACTGCAGGACTAATAATATATGTTTTGACTATTTTTATTATTTTTTGCCTAGTTTCTGGTGTTTTTTTAAACATAATATATACTTTAGTAAATTAGTGCACATTCCAATAGTTAATGATTTTGCTTTGATTTTAAACTGAATAATAGAGTTCTAGCCCCATATTGGTTTCTAATTTCTAGTTTGTCTTTAATGGGATAAAAAATGTTGCATAATACGTGATGATGCAGCAGATCACCTGTACCCCGTCTTTTCAAATTCCTAGATTTGCCCATGCTTAGGATCCTAATGCAGTGCAATGTATGCGCACATATCTATACGTAGACATGCAGATACACACACATATATCATGCACACACTGTGTGTGTGTGCATGTGCGTGTGTGTATGTTTTAAATAGTTTGTTTTTCTTTTCATGTTTGACATATACTTCTTAAAATAATTAATAAAAGGTGTTTGTGTTAGTGTGAGCAAGAGAGAATAGTATACATTAGAGTTTATCCAGACATGCAGACAATATAATGATATTCATTCCTTATAGAGTAAGTCTTATAAAGTAGAACAAACAAAAATGGCAGTTCTTATTAGTTTTAATCACAGTTTTTTCATGGACTATAAAAGGCTTCATGTCTGATTAGTCTGTATATAAAGTAATAATGCCGAGTACCTAAACTACTTAATTCACTGAAAGATGCAGGTACCAATTTTACAGCTGTTTGAAGAACTGAAAATCCAGTTATTTAATAGTTCTGAGGAATTAAGGAAATCCACATTTTTTCCAGAATTCAGCAAAAAAAGTACTAGGTCTAATAAAACATTTAATTTCAATTTTGGACTTCTTTAATAAGAACAAAAGAATTTGGAACTTGAGGGCTACATTCATGAGGGATTTGGGTTTAGTTCCCAAGATGAAGAAAGCTCATATGGTGCTGTATGTCTTATAGTCCAATTAGAGCACTTCCCTGACTTGTACTGAGCCTACATTCAAGTCCCTACTTCCAATCAGGCAGAAAAGGGATTTTAACACAAGTTTTCTACAACCTGCATGAACTGCCTAATCACCAACCACTGGACTACTAGGCCTCCACACAACTTTGTGAAGGGTGACTAAGGCTAGGTACAGACATTTAAAAAGCTGAAGGCAGAATTGATTATACAGTTTTCTATGAGTGGCTTGGTTTAGATAGGTAGCAAACATTTACCGTTTGGCGTGGGTGACTGGTGCCTCTTGAGTCAGCAACCAGTCAGCGACCGGAGGGGGGGGCAATCATGCTGACCAGGGTCGGTGGGGGGTCTCACGACCAATCTCACTCACCAAAATGCAGCCACGCTGCTTGCGAAAGTCCCGCAACTTTTGCTGGTGGCCACGCTCCCCGACCAGCACTTGCAGGGGGGGCACTGCTGCTCCTGCCTGCCCACCAGCTAAACAGGGAGTGTGGCTTGACAAGGGGTGCACCGGCGCTCTCAGGGGGTACACCGGTGCTCTCGGGGCGTGCACATCCACCCCGTGCACCCCTTACGTATTATCACGTCCACCCCTGTGCACCCCTTACGTATTATGGTGGCGGGGCAAATCTTAGACTGGGTTCTGCCATTTTTAAAGCAGTTTATGTGTGCCGAAGTTCTGTTCTGTTATGGGTATAGGCTGGTTTCCAATCACTTATACTGGTAAAAGTGTAATGTCTGTACCTGTCCTTTGTCCAATTATAGATCTAGCCTAAACAATCAAAAATGTTTCCATGTGGAAATGACAAAGTAAACTTTGATATTTCCCCAGTTCTTTTTTCATTTTTGGCTGCCCCCAAAACTGTATTTTTCATGATAAGCCACTGAAAAATTCCTTCCAGGTCTACTTAGAACCTCTTAGGTCCAAGAGCAGAGCTTTTAAGTCAGTCAATAATACTCTTAATTAAAGCAGATATTACATAAGATGCTTCTGAAGGCACAATATTTATTCTATGTGTATTAAAAGAATGTTTTTTAATGAAATTCAAACTGAATTTCTACAAAATTGCTTTTCATTATTGATACCGCTTCCCAGACTTAAGATTCACCAGGAGAATAAATAGCATTTTTCTGTGCGTGTAATCACTTTGCATTTATGATCCAACTTAAACTTATTTAAGTATGCAGAAAAATACTGAATTTAGATGTGGAGTAGTATAAATGTTTTATGCCAAATGCTGCTTGTCAAAGAATGTTCACTCCAAATTGTTGGCATTTAAAAATGCATGTACAGGATTTTGCTTACAAAAAAAAAAACTTTTGCAAAAAGTAAGAGATGCATATTAGGTGGTTAGTGGGCATGTCAACATGTGTGTTTTAACGCACATTAGACTATTTTAATGCACATTAAAGCATCACAAAAAAACCCATGCACTTTTGCTTATACACATTAAAATAGGCTAATGTGCCTTTTTCTGGTACCTCACAATTTAATGCCCATTAGCAAAAGCTCATTAGTGAACGTGTAGACATGCCCAGTGAAAACCAGATTTTAAAAAGCCAAGGAGACACAAATATACTTTTTTTATGAAAGCAGGGTGCTCTTTTAGCATATGTATTTAATAGTCAACTGCTACATGGAAAGTAAGAAATTTTAAACTTTAGTTTTTAGTCACATTAACAATGTAGCGGGATCACTAAGAAAAAAGAATATACAGTCGTTTAGATACTTATGTGTTTGTTCCTTGAACTTTAGTGTCAGCTTCTACTACTTTAAAGAATTAACAAATGGTGTAAATTCCAGCTTCTTCCTTTATCAGTAGATAGATATGTATGAACAGACTACTGAAGTTATTTGCAAATTAGTTAGAAAATTACAGGGGGCAGGGGAGGAGGGGTGAAGTACATTTTTCCCCAATAGTTTGGGTTTTTTAATGCTTGGGTGCAATTTTTACAAACATCTCTAAAATTTTTTAGACACAGGGATTTTTCAGCAAGGAGTTCTTGAGATTGTAACTATAAATAGTTATAAGGCTATACGTTTGAAAATGAAAGCATAATACAAGGACAGCATAACTAAATTCAGAGTATTAGCGAACTGTAAGCCAACTGTGCCTGGTACTATTTTACATTTTAAATGAGCATTTACTAAGGCAAAAGCATTCCTATTGCTTCTCACATGACTGAGATGCTTTTAGATGAGTCTTTGGCTTATAAAGTGTTATAGTTTCAAAAGGACTCTGTTTCTAATTTAATATGTTTTCCAGTTAACACACACAATTTTTAGCCTCGGTTTTATACAGTGGGAATTTATTTCCACAAAAAGAATAGGACAGTCTCAAATCCAACTGATAAGGCAAAAATCTACATTTCAGGCACAATATCACAATACCTTGTGCATCTGCTCTTTTTCCATAGCAATCACTTCTTTTGTCTATTGTGGTACATAGGTGAAAAGAATGGGGCGGAACCAGATGATGCAGAGTTGGTGAGCCTCAGCAAAAGGCTCGTGGAGAATGCAGTCCTCAAGGCAGTACAACAGTATCTAGAAGAAACTCAAAATAAAACCAGACAGACTGATGGAAGCCCAGTGAAAACTGAGGATGCAACTAGTGGCAATAGGAATGAAAGTGACAGTGATAACAGAAAGTGAGCGCTGTGGGAAGGCCAGAGCCCCAGAATCTCACTGTTCCGATCTGCTAAGTGGAGCTGGATGATATGCATTCTGCTTTCAGAGTAAATGTCTGTTTTGAATCAAAGGACGCCATCTAACAGTTGAATAATAATTGTTTGCATTGCTGAAAAACTACTGAATGCTAGGGGGAAAAAAGATGATTGGGGGTGGGGAAAGAAGGAAAAAGACTGTAAAATAGAAAGATTCAACTTCTACTGGCTCTGACTACAGAGGATCTCTTCCTTGCTTGCAAAGAAGAATCAAACCTTTTGTGTATGCCTTTCAGATTGCAATGAATGGCCCTAGAAGAGGCCTGGCCATAGGTGGAAACAATCCATCTACATTCTTTGGCACTGCCACAAGTAATAGCTTACTTGATCTGTAACAGAACAGATTCTGTTGCAAAGCCAACAGCAATCAATGCCCAGCTACAAATGACTGCTACAGATGTTCGTCACAGATACTATTACACAGTATGTAACATAGTGGGAACTTCTTTTGGATATGACACTGTGCTGTGTTCTTCACTTTTTGGTAAAAATTGTTCACAAATTATATTTTTGACAAAACACTACCTTTTTATATAAGATAAATATGGCCATAATTTTAAGTCCTTTAGAAAAATGTATCTATTTGGATACATTACCTCCATACTTTAAAATGTTTATAAATGATGCTAGTTGTATGCAAAATGTACTGTATCATTCTTTTCCTCTAGGGAAGAATCATGAGGCAGACTTAATAAAGGAGGCTTTGCACAGAGAATCACTGTCCCTGTTATCCAAACTGAATCAGATAAAAGAGCTGTTATCAAGCCCTGAGACCCGGATGAAAATTTACAGGGAACTCTTTGAAGACAGCCGCAACAGCAACAGAAATCAGGAAAGTTGCATTGACTTTGGCTCTCCAAATATGCAGTGGTAAATTGCCATAATGTAAAGTTGTTTAATGATGAAAGCAATTGCTTTTGCAAACTTCCCTCTCCCTCTTTCTTTTTTAGTAACAGTATAAAAGAGTACAAGTTGGTTATGTCATATTATAGTAAAATATACACAGAAGCACTATATTGCAAACTGATGAGCTATAGTAGTTCTCCTGCTAAAGGGTTTTGTTTGTTTGTTTGTTTGTTTGTTTGTTTTGGGAATTTTTTAAAGATTTGAGGTGTAGGTCTATTTTATGGTTTCATGACGTCAAAAAAAAAAAGCCAAACTCATTCTAAAATGAAGGTAATCAAACGCTGTAGCCATTCTTTATCACTACAAGTATTTAAGTCTTTTCTCACAAGATTATTTCTATATCTGTGAAGGACAGATACTAAACTAAAGAACAGATATTTGAAAATGATTTTAAAATGCATAGCTGAAGAAGGTATTTTAATGAGCTGCCTTTTCTGTGTGTACTGATATTTCCAGTTCGCACTGTCTGTTTTATTTTTCTTGTTTTGTTGTACTCGGGGTTTGTTGTTGTTGTCTTTTTTAACCAGCACTTGAAGACTCATGTACAGATGCTGAAATGTGGTTTCTGCTATTGTTTACATGGAAGCAGGAATGTTTTTTATAAACTTTCAGGGAGAAATTCTGGTCCCATTCAATTCAATGGCAAACATTCCAATTGACTTCAGTGGGACCAGAGTTTCACTCTCACTATGTGTTGTTTGAGTAATCGTTGTTCAGAAAGATATTTGCCTTTTAATTTCTGTGGAAACAAGAGGTTTTTGGTTTATGTTCATGTTTCCTCCATCTTTGTACCCATTGCTACCTGAAGAAGAGCCTGTGCCTGCATTCCCTGGGTACTCAACACTTCAATGGAAGTTTTAGGTGCACACAAATGCTGGATTAGGCCCAATATTTGCACTTTTCTTAAGCACTTGTTTAAGATTGCCTATGATTGTAAGATCTTCTACTTAATTATGTATTTTGTGATCACTATCAGGTTTGTGCTGTTAAAACAGCAGCATAAATATTAACTAAAGTACTGGTAGTTTCTCTGTTGCATCACAGCTAATTCTTCCCCCTCCCCTCAGTTGATTAAATGATAGTGTACCCTAAATTCCATTTCATGCATTTGTCAATCCATATTCTTAATAAAAATTGCTTCTTTTCATTTCACTCTCCATGCATCATCTTTTCTCTAAGCAAATTTAAAAAAAGAAATGCTTTTGAAGTTAAATGTGGCAGAACTAATTAAATGACGTCTATGCAACTCCTTATTACACCTTCTATGGGTGTTATTTTAAGGTAATGATATTGCACCTGAAGGCTGAAACCATATAAACCTCCATGCCATACTTTGAACCCCTGCTGGAAAGTACCTTCCTTTCCCCAGCTTGATGCAGAGCCTTCATCACTGGATCAAGTGAATCAGTATAACCACCTAACAGCAGTGCTTGAGCACAAATCAAGGAGCACACCTAAAGCACAGCTGCAAAACAATGTTTGGAAACATGTTCATGGTCATTCTAAGGCAGCTACATTTCCTTGTTTGTGGGTGGCATGTGTTGAGCAGGAATGGCCTGAAAAAGGGGGAAGCATCTTTTTCTCAGTTGTCCCAAACTTGGCCCCATTAAAAGGAGAGGTAGCAAAGAGAAGCCCTACAAGGCAGTTTGAGAAAAGACCAAACCACTGTACTCTGTTTACTCAAATGCAAGAAAAGGGTTTTTTTCCCATTTAACATAAAGGAAAGAAATCCTCTCATCTTGGATTTGAATACAAGGGGGGAGGGACAGCAGGCAGCTGCTGGCACTTGACTCCAGCCCGAACCTGGAGCTGTAGCCTCTGCCCCCACTCTTAACCAGCTCTGTTCCTGCACTGTTGACTCTGACTCTGGCCACTACTCACCCTCTGCCTCTGGATCTAGCCCTGGCCTTACTCCAGCCTGGAGCGTGGAGCACATGGTTGCTCCAGCCCTGGCCCTGGCCCTGGCCCAGCCAGGCAGCAATGATGGCAGCAGTGGCAGCTCCGACCCAACTCTGGGGCTTGAGTTGCTGCTGCCTCAGCCACTTATGCATGGTCTGACTGGGCCCAGAATGACCATTTGCTCCATGTTGTGGACTGGAGCAGGGCTAGAGCCAGGGCAGGAGTTGAAGCCAGAGGGTAAGCAGTGGGTGGGGGGAGCAAGTGGCAGGGGGAGTAGGCAGGGGACAAAAGTGCAGGGATCAGGTCATTTTACTCTGCCACTGGCTGCCACCCTAAGGCTGCTTTCCCCACTGCACTAGAGTGGTGACACTCCAATAATTAGAGTGTACATGAAAAAAAATTAAAATGTTCTTTATATAGAATTTTATTATTGGCAGGCTGTCTTAAATTCAAAGTTGTCTTGGATTCAGGTAAATAGGGTACTGCTTCCCGCACATTTTAAAAAAGCTTTACAAAGCCATCCCTGAAAAATAGCTGCTCCCTTCAAACCCTCCCAAACATCGAGATGAATCATGTCAAGTTTCTTTGCTGTACTGCAGGCCAGAACTTTTGGCCCTGTGGGCCTGATGAGTAATGCAAAGCTGCTCTGCAGGCCGGATCCCGTGGGAGGGAAAGATGTTCGTACTCAAGATGCCCTGCTCCAGTCCAGGACATGGAGCAAACGGTCACTCTGGTCTGTGGGTCTGTGGGATGAAATTTGGAAACCATATCAATAACCAGTGCCATCCCACAGTTTCCTGAGGTGGCTGCACATGCTGCATTTCTTATTGTTTGGATATGCTGTTACTTATGAGACCAGCTAAAGGCAGGGGGAGAATCTGAAAGTGGCCATGTCATAAATAAAGGACCTTGTTTCTTTGCTTTCTTATTTTCCATTTCTCATTGTCTGTAGAGCAAGTTGGAATTGTTGATTCTTTGGTGAATGTTCTATAGTGAAATGAGCACAAGGCAGCTAGACTCTGCCTGAATCTCATGCTGTTACTTCCTTCTCTTCCTATCAACTGGGAGGCACAAGCTTGAATAAGGCACCTTTTTCACAGCACTATTTACCTCAACAACTACAGTAAAAGGTTTCAAATGTACGGATCTATATTTAGGCCTCCTAATAAGTGGCCTGATTTTAAGAAGTTCTCATCTTTCTCAACTCCTACTGATTTCAGAAAGGACTGTTCAGGAGAGGGGGGAGAAGGGAGGAGGGAAGGGGAAGAGCCAGACTGCCTACATTGGTGCTTAATTTTGAAAGTTTTAGTCCTTGAAAAATCAACTGGACTTACTCAACTAGGTACTTTAAAAGTCCCATGAACAGCATTCCCTTTTGGTTTAGCCTAGTAAGTCACTATAAAATACATTGTCTAGACTCAGCTTTAAAACACAATAACCCTCTTTTGCTGATTTATCTATTCTCCTGTTTCCAGGTAGCACGGAAACATGCTGGGTGCAGGAGCATGAGAATAACAAATAGATACTGTGTGCCAAAACAAAAAGATTAAGTGCTAAATACATATGTATTGTGCAGCATTGTGAGACAAACTCATCAGAATGCAAATACACAAAGAATGAACACAGTGTGTAATGGTACACGGCACACAGATCAAAGCAAACAGATCGCCTTCCTCATGTTGACTATGCTACTAAGTGTACCTAAATCTTTACCCGACTGGTGATTTTTTTAAAAATCAACTTCTCTTCCCCGTTTCAAATATATTGAGTGAAAGGATACACATAACTTTTTGCCATTCTACAGAAGGCTATGCTGGATTTAAACAGGTGGACCATCTCTTAGTACCAGCAGGGACGAACTGAAAAGCCACCTAAAACTGGAGGTCTCACCTTACCTCTACCACTTTTTTTTAAGTAATGGGTTGTAGGGTGGTTCCTCCAGATCAGAGACATAGTTATGTGCCACTTTAGCACATAACTGTATTTGGATAGTGACATTTATGTATAGTTCAGGGACTACATGGGTGATGATGCAAAGCTTTGTTTTTATACATAATCAGACTTCATCAGGAATATTTTCACTTTATACCTGGCCAGTAAACATCCTAAACATTTTCTACAGTAGGAAAACAAATGCTTTCTTCCACTCTTCAGCCATGCATGATCATATTTCATTTTGTTTCATCATTTAATAAAACCCAGATCTTCTATGACTAGAGAGTCAGTGTTATCACACTGAATCAGCAGGATTTATTTGACCTGAAAGGAAGACCCACCACTTTTATCAGTCTTATCTTGTTCCTCCTGCAGAGGCAAATCTCAAAGCCTTCCAATTAATTAGCCAAGGAAATCAACATTCTCATTAATTTAATGTCTATCTGTTTTATTTTCACTTCTGAAAGTGCTAAAACATATTTCTCTGTCATGTTTGTCAAGGCTGAACTCTAAGGCAGTGATAATCTGTCATGGTTCCATGCCATGTGACATGCTATTAACAATGCTGAAGTTGCTTGTGGAAAAACTTCATCTGCAACAATGGGTACAAGCTCGTCCTATTGAAATTTTATTTCTATCCAACACCTTGCAAGTTTCTCAAACTTCAGGTGTGCCTATACTACAGACTATAGTGAAGTTTAGAGATACCCAAGTGATGGAGACTGGATGCAATCCAGCTGTCAGAATAAGGAGCTCTGTAAGGGTACACTGACAGCAAGGTGTGGATTCTAGTGTGCTTCTGGTGCATGAGCTAGCTTAGTAACTCAATGATACAGGGCCCCACCTACTCACTACTGCTGGGCACACCAGAGACACTGGCTAGTAAGCAGTGAGGATGGCTCAGATGTGTCCCTGAGTACCACCTGAAATGACTAGGATTTCATTCAGGCACTTTACATTTACTGTGTGTTGCTGATCTTGGGTATGCCACAGCAGTAACAATAGTCAGGGTCTATTTCCTCAGTAGCATCCCCATCAGGAGGAGAGTCGTATGGACATGGATATCTGAGACCAGATTCTTATAGTTAACTTAGTGAAAAGCACCACATACCCATAGTGTAGCAAATCTTTGTTAGAATCACAGTTTCACAAAGGTTGTAAGAACCATTTCAGACTTCCATGAAAGTGAAAGAGAATAAAAAATGAGATAGGAAAGAACTTGCAGAGACTATGGTGTTCAGCACAGCTTGTAAATTCACATTTTAGACTCATTTTTTTGTGTGCAATTAATTCAATCAAATACAAGTCCAAAAGCCATGGTAAGTGTATACACTGGATTAGCCAATGAAATACAACATCTTTGGACTCCAGCTGACTCCCATTGAGATCATGAAGAACTTGTCAGCTTCAATGGGAGCTGGTTTGGACCCGTGGGTTGGTAGAGAAAGGTACTTAATGACTGTATCAGACTTTGTTTTACCCTGTTTCAGAACTTAGGTCTTATTATATTTTTTAAAGAAAAACCCTATATTTATCCACTATTTCTGTAAAATAATTACTAAAACGTTTTTTCTTAGTCTGCTGAAGTGAGTAGCCAGTGTATTAGCTTGGCGCAGTTACTGTCCAATGAACTTCCCCGATGGAGAAAGCAAGTAGTCAACATCCCCTGAAAGAAGATTGGTCTGAGAAGGTTTTTATCTCTCTCCATAAGCAGGAACAAAGGAGAGCTCCTAGTGGCTAAAGTGTCCGTGTCTTACAATCCTGAAGTGTGATTCCAATACAGTGACTTTCAGATCCTGGGACAGGTCAATAGTGGCAGACAAGAGACAGCCAGTATGCAGTCACCCTTTTAGGGCCAAGCTGATAGCCCATTAAGGTATGTGATAGACTGGTATATGACTAAGGTGAGTTTTTTTAACTTTATTAAAAATGTTCTAAACAGAAGTAACGGGTAATTTCTTTTCAATTCATACATTTTAGTATTGGGATTCCATCTTATGCCTCTTTGAAAGTTCCCTTAATGAGAAAGTTCTTTATCTCACCACGGTTGTGTGTACTTTAAAACAACCCCTTAGTCCCATGAAATCATGTTCATTAGAAATGATCTGCATTCTTTAATGTGAATAAGCATAATATTTTATATGAAGCCCTGGACAGATTGTGGTTTGAGAAACAAGAAGTCACATGGTTCTTGCACGGAAAGGTGAAAATGAAAACTCTGGAAACAGTAATACATTAATACAGAAATGTCTTTTACTGAACCGTTTCCTTGATCAATACAATTTCTGGACTAAAAAAGGTCTTAGTTTTCAGTCATC